TTTCAGTCGGGGCTCAGAGCAACAAATAACAATTCCCTCTTTAACCGAGGAAACAAGCCCCACGTTGTTTAGCTCCGAAACTTAGGGAAAGCTGTCAAGCCATCGTTTAATTAAAACCTGAAGGAAGGCGAGAGGCTGACTGGCTGCACGCCTGGGCTCCGATAGTATCACCAAATTACTCTGTAAAGGGAGCCTTTAGCGAGGCTGCAGCCCCGCGTGTGTTACTTACACGGGCCTCGCGACTTTCCTGTAAGGACACGCAGAAGCTGCGCCGCTGCCTCGGGGCATGCAGCCTGCGTAAACCTGGCTGGATTTTTGCAACTTAGCAGTGAAAACAATCGCCACGCATGAATTAATACAGACGTGTGACACAAGTGCAGGTAACAAAACCTCAGTGCCGTGGCTTTGAACGAGGCTTAGCGTCCCCGTGTCGGCTGCAGATGGGCCTGGGGAGGCTGCGGAGGCGCAGGGCCCAGGAAGGAGGCAGGCTGAGGAGCCCCTCCAGATGGGAAGTCTGAGGAGGGAGAAGTTTCAAAGGGTACAGCTTGACAGGAGGTTGTGGGGCTACCCATACTCACTTCTAGCAGTTTTAATGATAATCACTTCGATAATACGCATACAGCATCCTTGCATTTCTTCAGCGTTGGACCTTCAGCCAGCCCTCTTCCCCCTCCTGCCTTCGACCTACTCACTAAAGCCACCAAATTTCATTTGTTACGGGGCACTTTCAGCCCCAAAACATAAACTAACCTCTTAAAAATTTAGGTTAGAAATGCAATTTGCTTGCCGAAAGGAAAGAAATGCCAACACAGTCTTCAGCTGGGGAGGTTTTATCCACATCCGACCAGGCCCATGTGGATTCATCACCTGTGACAGCAGAGCCTCGTTGCTGTCTCAGACACACTACTGCAGATACTCAGTCTCCAAAACAACTGATCTTTTGTCTCTGCTAGCGATGGTGTGGACAGTCTTTGTCCAGGAAACTGGAGAACAAACTGCTTGCAGCAGGCAACCACAAGAATTTGTATTCTCTTGTGCTTATTTGTTTGAACTGATAAGAGGTTTATGAAAAGAAAAGCGAGAGTGAAAACTTCCTCGTCTAAGATCTCGCAGCAGGAAAATCAGGAGTAACTCCACAGAACGTGTTGGTATTAGACCCTCATCGCTCCGCATGCTTACCACGCTAATAATGTTATTTCAGACAACTATTGCCTTCTGTGTTTTAAAAGAGAGATTATTCTGAAAAGGGAGGAGTGAACATAATGTTAATATAGTGTTGTCACAGATATTACCCTGGTACTGCTTACTGTGCTGAAGTTGGTGAGTCTAGCTGTTATTTATAGAAAAAATGAGGAAATCCTGCCAGAGTAATTTCCTTGATTGTGAACATATTTCACACCCATTACATTTTTTCTCCAGCTATGTAATTGAAGGTTCTCGGGTCCATTCCTGTACAGTGTCAATCACCTACAATTGCCACTGACTTCAAGCTATGCTAGAAGATGCAGGTGATCATGGATAACTTGTGGTTTGAGTTATTCATGTAACTACTTAAAAATCTTAGAGCAAGGGCTTCATAGAGAACAGCACGTTGCTTACCTTTTCTTTCTATTCATTGAATCTCTTCTGAATAATAGTTGTTTTCTTCTCTGGAAATCATTAAGGCTTGATTTCAGGAGGGATACACTTCTATTTTTGTAAAGCTCCCAAGTGAACACCACGCACTAGTTTCCAGAGCATTTGTTTTGATCCTGAGAACTGCAGGCGCCAAGTAATCACGCAGCCCACTAGTTCAAAAACATTGCTATCTCAGTCTTGAATCATTAGAAATACTATAAACTGTGTTATTGTACTTTAATACTACAAGCTGGAGAATGAACAAAGTAACTGAGACGAAAACAAGAGTCAAAAATTACTCAGGTGGTCAAGAAACCATTTTCTTGTATTTTAGGTAATTATTTTAAAAGCTGAAGCATCCTTCCTCTTAGTGTTTCTGCCTGCAATTTTAAGGGCTTTTACACTTAACATGTTGCTACAGTAGATGAGTTAAATTGGCCAACTGAGTGAACAATAGCACCTAATTTTCAGCTGTGAGAAGTAATAACAATAAGATAAATGATGGGATAAAGAACTGGGGGAGAGAAGAACATTGTGGCTTGCAGTGCCCTGGACAAATTGCTGCCACTAAAAGCATAACAAAAATGCATTTGAGTATCTTAAGGTTCAGATTATTTTAAAATGTATGTATATATATGTATATATTTTGGAAAGTGAATGAACCTAGAAGCTGTTTTTCTTAAGATTAAAAAAAAAAACACATTCACAATATACATTCTCCAGATTTTAGCATAGTGGCTCAGCGGTAATATATTATTCAAAACATAGTATTAACACTGCAAATCAGCATCCTGAAGTGTCAGGTAACCAACATTTATATAGGCAGCAGAGGTCAACAACCACTCTTCACATTGGTTTTGGAGGCAACCAACAGCTTGAGCAGCATTCCTCTAAAATGGGAGCAGAGGTGGACAGCTTTTCAGTCTCTGCGTTGTTCTTGCAGATGGAGGGAGACAGGAGAAGGACGAAGTCCCACGCTTTGCTGTAGCAGGTCAAGCAGCGTGTCCCCACGGATCCATTTGTGCGCTGCTCAAATGAGAGTCTTGCTCTTGTTTTTCCAGTGCAGCATTTGGGCAGTGGCTTAAAGAAAACAAGAAATAGACCTCACAGAGTAAATGGCTGGCTCCCGAGTATGAAACTGCTTGCATTTTAATACCCTTTCAAGGGGTAAGGAACAAGTAGGTAGTCACAGGAGTGACCTTAGAGGTGCTACCGGCAAACCCTGCTCAGCAGACACCACTGGAAGAGACCAGGGTCCCTTCACCACAGGGGCATCTGCTCAGTGGTCTCACCTGCTGTCTTGAGAGCACAGAACGCCTTCTGGATGTCAGTTAGCTTAACAAGAAGGTACCTACTAGGGATATATTTCACATTTTGTGTTTGGAAGGGCTTTGACTGAGATGGGGAAGGGATGCAGCTTAAGCCCTTCACAGAAGTACATCTGCTGGGGCTTCCAGGCTGCTTTGCAGCTCCAGCGCTGCCCTGGCATCCCACGCTCCTCTGACCAGCCACGGCTGATCAAAGGCTGCCAGTGCCACCTCGGGCACGCGGGGTTGTGGAGAAGCAAAGGAGCTGCAGTGCTGATGCTGTAAATACAAGCCTGGTGGTGGCAGGGGCACCTGGAGTGGCCAGCCACCCAAAGAAGCTGCATACAGCTAACGAGGCTGGGAGCTAATGAGCAAAGAGTCGCTTTTTGAGAAGTGGCAAAGGGAAGACCAACATCCCGCCAGCCGGAGTAGCAGTCTGCTATTCCTGTTGCTTTCTCCAGACTTAGCTGTACAATTACAGGCAAGCGGATGATTCCCCCCTCCTAGCCCAGTATCACTAGATGAAAATGCAGCCTCGGGGTCCGGATCCGCCCATCATCAATGCCGCTTCATTTTGAAGTGAACACACGTGGAAGCCAGGAGGGCAGCTCGAGGCCTTTGCCAAGGCCTGAGACAAGCTTTGGGTGGTGTTTCCCAGAGCAATACCAAGGAAAATGCTCATCCTAATCAGGGAGTTACTGCAATGCCCAATTACCTTACCTTTATTTCTGCTTTAATAGTTATACAAGTTAATGAAAATAAATCTGGGAAAGACAGTAGCAGTGTCAGATTCTTCTTGGTGCTTGAGATAGCTATGTTTGCGTTATTTCATCATGCTGTATTAGCTCTGCACGTTACCAGAAAATATTACATGCTAACTTTGTTAACAACTTATGGTTTCATTATAATATGTAGTTTAGTGTTTTAGTCTGAATTCTGTTTTGGTTGTTCTCTGACACTCACTCCTGTTTTGCAAATCACTTTTATTAAAGTACACTGAAAGAAAAATCCTTTCATCCATTCATGAAAATCCGTTTATGGATCATTGCTGTAGTCTTTTTTTCTTGCTGCTTCTTAGAGCTTGATCCTCAAATGCTTTACAGCAGCAAAACTCTACAAAGGACGTGGATGAATCACTAGCGATCTTCCAGCACAGTTCCAAGGCCACCAACAAATTAAAAATAAAGCTCTCTGGGCAGATTTAAATTACAGCAGCAAATGTTAATATTGATACAAAGGATTTGTATCACCTAAAGCAAAAAATGGGAGCAATTTAACCCCTCAACTAACAGTACTTGCTCCAGATATTCAAACGATTCTTTAAGGTTTCATTTGAAAGCAGATATAAAAGAAAATACACATGGCCTTTCTTTATAACTACAGACCTAGCATACATCCTTTAATGTTAGTTATCAACTGAGTGGGCAGATCACATGAATGATTCAAGAGTTAATAAGAGCAAGATGAACTGTCACTATGGAAAATATTAATATACTTCGTTATAAAGTACATTTTCTAATTTTTTAAATTTTCACCAAGGTTATGATTTTAAAAAATGTATCTGCAGAATGTTTTCCCTCATGTTTCACAAGAATACTGCAACTCCAAGCAGGTCACTTTCCAGGTAGCAGCACGTGCGTTTAGCTTGGAGAGAAGATGAGCATTTATGTTACGGGTAGGTTACAGAACACATCTCACACACTCAGCAGAACAGTGTTTACTGGCTATGGCTCAAGTTCTCTTTTCCTCATTTTCTTTTTCTTTGCCAAGTAATACCCCAGAGAGTATATGGTTTGTATGCCGTCACTAGTGTTTTGGATGTCATAGTCTGGAAGCCCTCACCTTATGGCTTTTCTACCACTGGCCTACATTTCTTCTATGTATTGGCAAGACCTCAGAAAGCGCATTAGTGTACGGCAAAGGAAGCAATGGTGCAATGTTTTAAGGCTCTGAGAATTCCTTCGTTCACTATTTCTGAAGAAGCCTGTAAACATCTCAGCACAAATTAACACACAGGTATTTTTAAAATTAGCCTTATTTTTTTTGCTAGGAATAAAAAAAGCTAAGAAACAAACATTAAATTCAGAAATGAAAATGTATTTCACCTTTATACATGCTATACATGTCATGCAAATAAAGAAATCTACAGGTTATACAATGACACCATAAAATATCATGTGACATTTGTCAAATACAATGTATCACAGCAAACCAAATGGTTTTGTTTGTTTATCGTTTAAGAAATAAATGTAGGACTAATTTGGAAGACACAGTACCATGCTACAGCTTACTGCACAGTCAAAAGAAATTATTTTTCTGAAGTACACCAACATAAATAACTGGATTGCTGTAGGTATGCTTCCTGTATACATCGCACATAATTTCATTGGTTACATCCCCACTGCTGGCTTTAAAGAGCGCAAGAATGGGTCTACAATTGAGCTCAAGCTACATTTTGAACTCCCTTGCACAGGAAAAAAACAAAACAAAAAAACACAAGTTTTCACTTCTTTTCATGTTAGTTTCCAAAGAGAGATGTATTTATAATTTATTTTTTATAAGGAACTGGACAAAAGCGTCCTCAAAGCAGCACAGAGTCTAGCATAAAGTTATCATAGTTTACCAACAGAAATAAAGTTAATGCTGTATGGCACGTAATGTCTACACATTATACATCTTGATGTGAATTCTTCCATACAGATGCTTATAGGATATTAAGTAGGCTAGCAGTGTTCACTGTGTGTCTCCCAGCCTTTGTATTTCTGCTGCAATGTTTGAATATTATTTTGCTGCTGACTGTACCTTGTTTTGTTGAGCCTCTAAGGAAGACAAAATGCTTCTCCACATGACAGCAAGCCTGCTGGTATTTATCAAATGTCCACATCCTCAAAGGTTAACATGTTATCTGCCCCCCAACATACTCATTTGCATCTACTACAGTTATACTATATGTATTAAAGGATTATACTAGGCATTCTGCCTATGTTGTTCACAGGTGTTACACAAGTATGTTTTTAAACACATAACTGATAGTCGCTCCAGGACTATAAGTATTGACCAACAAGTGCCACTAGTGACTAAAACTGCCAACATAACCGCAACGTGATAACTTCCACACTCCACAGTCAGTAAGAAGGCTCTTCCAATTCCAGTAATTCTGTATTTTTCAAGCCTTTTCACTTATAGATTTGAATTATACACCTGCATAAATGTTGCCAATAATTCCTTATTAAAAAGGAAACAAAAAAAGATAGGCACAAAACTAAAGTACAGTAGATTATTTCATTTCAATGCACCGTGGGCAAATTTCTTCACTATTTACAAGAAAAAGACATCTAAATATATGTATGATAAAATTAAGGAAGAATGATTTTAAAATAAAATGCACAAGTAAAAATCACAGTGAAGTGTTCAGATGGATTTTAAATTAAAAGAAATTTTAAGTGCTTTACTAGCAGCTAAAGCTCAGATTCTAATGCATAGTCTTCCCTGAAACCATCGAGGTTCTAGATCACTGTTTGCCACCAAAAGCAGACAGTTATTCAACATATTCCCTGGGAAGACGAAGTTCTATTCAGCTCCGATTATTTGAGATCCAGTGTTCAAGGACTGCAGAAGCTTTTCCAAGTGACAAGCTCGTATTTTACCGTCAGTAGCATCACAGGAATATGTATCCTCCACAGATCGCTACCTCTGTCAATTAAAAAACAAAAGAAGAAAACCAAGTCAGCTATGCAAGTTATATGACCTCAGTTCTGTAATTTAGAACACACACTTAATAAAATTAGCTGTGGAAACGTACTTTGAAATTGCCATTAAAGTCTACCATTTTTCTTCCCCACGTAGTTTGTCAGCTTTCCAGGATAAGTGACTCTACATCATGCTGCAAGTCTTTACAGCAGCAGAAAAAAAGCAAGCAGCAACAATAACTACTATTTTCTAGGTTGGCCCCACTTTTAACTGTTTTTTGTTGTTGTTGTTGTTAATGTGCTCCGAAGACTTACAGGAAAGGTATTTTATTAATGTTGAAAATGAGCAGCTCTCTTCACACTACATTCTGAATGGAAAAAGGGAAATGTTTCAATTTACCAGATACTTTCAGTTGCTATGATACATGCAGTTTACATATGATGCCCATTTAAAAAGAGCTGCAAATGTGAAAGATTATGCTACATTTAAATATCTCAGAGACCATATGTGAAGAGAGGAAGAAAGCTGGTGTTTACAACTGCTCTATCTTCTGGGAAGCTCATAAGTAATCACAGCAATTTATCACATCTAAGTTGTTTATCACAATACTGTACCTTTTTTTGTTCTGCTGAAAAGCGAGGTTGTCAACAGATGGAATTAAGTGTATTTTCCTGTCCTGGGCTGTTAAACCCCTCAATCAAGTTTTTGTTACAGTCATCTAGGCTAATGGTATCACTGGACGTCTTGGAGTAAGTAGCTTGGCCTGTGAAATCCAAGAGATCTTCAAGAGCCTTGGCATTACTTGTCCCGTTTTGGTCCAAAGAAACACCGGGCATGAGTTCATTCATGGGTGAATATTCAGGGATGGAGATAAGTTCTTCTTTTGAAACCGGGCTATAGAAAAGATATATGAAAAGATGATGCAGAATAACAGCTGTGTAAATTTTCATTAAGCAACAAATTAATCTTCTGACCATCTAAAACCTACTACTAATCTTAGGGCCAGCTGCAGTAAGCCTTTACCTAGAATATGTCCCAATCCAAACAAAAAGAGATCATCCTGTTCAGGAAGAAAGGTCACACTTAATTTACACTCCTTAAAGATTAAGGTTTGTGGTACCTGTGGGACATGAACACTCATCCCTAAAAAACACATCTCTGGTAGTTTACTGAACTGAGTTTACTGACCGCTCATTACAGCACCTGCACCCTTCCATTACCTAAATATTAATCGCATCTTGCAAATTTCTGTCCCGCCCCTGCAAGTATTTACCTAAAGCAATTCACAATTTAAATAAAAGGATATTTCTTAATACTTTATGACATAGGTCAGACATAGAAATGACAGAATTTAATTTAAGCAGCATTGCAATCAGCTGATGCTTTACAGAGACTACAACAGCAAGTACCTCTCAGTTCAGAGAAGAAAAGGCAGAACTTCTGTGCCTCAGGTTCAGTAACACCAAATCTAGGTGGTGCTCAATGATACTGGTAAGAGACTGGGTTTAACACAGCTCAAAGAATATAATTTACCTCAGAGGGACTGAGCTGTAGAATTTGCTGCCAGATGAGGTCATAGAAGCAAATATTATTAGCAGGTTGAAAAAGGAGTTAGATAAACACATGAGGAACAGACTGATCTGTGGATATTAAACATGGTAACGCAGACTTCTACCCTGCAGCGTCCCTAATATACTTCTGTGTGGTATTGGATTGCAGGAAGTGGTTTAGGCTCAGGTGCTCTCCCTAACTAGATTTTCCTATTCATACTTGCTCAGACAGAACAATGGCTTAGGTGGACTTTTGGTCTGGCCCAGTAGGGCACTTATGTATTTATGCAGATTTACTGGAAATATGTAAACTGTTTGAGAGGTTAATTTACCTGATTGGTTAATGAAATGTAGTAAAATTTTAAATGTTTAAAATTCAGAGCTAGCTTTCTCATAACAACCTTAAAATTACCAACTTCCTTCTTTCCTGAGTCCTTCAACCAAAATCCAAACAGTATTTAATAATTACTCATTTTGATAGACTTGTTCCAATAAAGTACTTAAAACTCTGAATTCACAATTTTACGTTATTCTGTTTGTATGGGCAGAGAAAATCTTGTACCATCCAGTCTTGATACAAATAAAAGTATAATGGTGGCATCTGAATAATATTTATTGTATCCATTTTCACAGTAAGACATTCTGGGTTCTGGGGTCTATCTGAAAGGTTTGGGAAAATTTGTATGGAATCCATACAACAATGGTAGAAAGGTTTTGAAGTTCCCCTACCCCCAAATATGTGAGAGTAAGATGAGAGTCAGACTCTTGTCTGAAACAACCAATTTGTATCTTGACAGAACTGGAAGACACCACAGCAGTTACCACTATCCTGATGCATTGTGGAGTAGGTGAGAAGTAAAGGAATAAGTATTAACAAATGAAACAGGAAACTGTTTGTGTCTAATATGAATTTCACAAATTCTGTTTGTAGATATGGTCTGTACCTCACGTCCATAGACTGAACCTCATCTGTTGAGTCTTCCATGCTGTTAGACTTCCCATCAACAGCTTCCAGCTGAATAAGTCCTGGAACTGACTTTAGTCCATTAGCAACTACATCTTGGGAAGGGACTACAGAGGCAGCACTTTCTAAGCTTTTATTTTTTAGGCAGGTTGCCAGTCCATTGATCTCTATAAAAGAAGGTTAGAAATTATGACAATAGCAATATTTTATTATTATTATTATTTAATCAGAAACGCTTTTAAGTTACAGAGTAGAAAGGAGAACTGACAACGAAGGAGGGACTCAAGTTCATCTATGATTCACACTACACTTTCAATCCTCCTTTCCACTCTAAAATTGTGCTTTATGTTACAACTTTTAATGAAACAGGAAGAGGATGTATCATCTTTTACGCCATTTACTAAAAGCCTTTAACATAGGAAAGTAAACAAAACATAGATAAATGCCACAACTATTTTTTTTAAATTAATTCTTAAAAATACGTGCTGTTTTCAACAAGTCAAATTAAATCTTACTTTCATCAAGACTCTGAGCAATGCTATAAAAAGCTTGCAAGCCTGGTTGCGTGCTGAATTTTTATTTATTTTTTTTAACCAACAAAACTCCAATGTAGGTTGCAGCAGCCAAACCAACTAGCAGACTGGAACTTTTCATTTACAGAAATGCTATGTCAGATCAGAAATGCTATGTCAGATACTAAACGGAGAAGAAACTTTCTTCTGCTTCTGTTTACGTGGCTAAACAAGGGTGAGTTCCCAGTCTCTAACATTTGTGACTGACATAAACCTAGCTATTCTTTTTGAGATAAAAAGAACGAACCTGTGGTAATACACAGCGTTATGTCTGAGAAAAACTCTGAAAAGAGACAGTTATTAAAAGAGGTCAGAAAAATACAGCAAGCCTCACCTGGCTGGTTGAGAACAAGGACTTTTGGTTGCTTTTCCACATTCAAAGTTGATGGTATCTCCAGTTTTGGCTCTTCCTTCTGTAATCAAGTAACAAATCAACTGTATTAGACAAAGTAGTGTAATCTTCATGGAACTGATTGTGTTCCAAACCTGTGGGAGTACCCCCAGGGCCAGGGGGTAGTCAAAGTTCATCAACAGTATTAGAGAAGTGTTTTTTTTTTCTTTTAATATTGGGCTTAAAAAAAAACAAAAAAAACCTTCAAACATTCTCTGAAAGTAACTGAACAAATTATTTTCTTAGTAGAAAGTTTACATTTTAAGTGAAAACTTAACTGTTCATAACTTTCTAGCTGCACACACCTGCCTTGTTCTCAAAAACTACATTCCTGATAGGCTTAACATGGAGAGCTTAATAACTAATTCACTGGCTGATACAAAGCAGAAGATACAACACATCAGCAAACACTACAGCTCCAGCATTCAGTACTACCACCAAAGGATGGGTTCTTCCCACCTCACTAGGAGGTACAACACTTGCATAAAGCTGTGTCTCTGTTGCAGTTGCACAACAGTAAGTCATTCTCAATTCTAAAATGCAACTAAAATTTGGGTGTAGGGCATATCTAAGTATACTTACTATCATAGAACAATGCTAGGGTTTAATTTTCACGAGTTATAAACCAAAATAAATCCTGAAAAAATAATTTCATACCTTTATTTCTGGTGTTTCACTCCTCCTTGTTCTCTTCATTATTTCATCTATTCTCTAGAAATCAAAATAAAATGGTGTATGAGAAGGCAGGCAGAATATTTAACACAAAAGACAAAGGAAGAAAAGAAGATAAAAAGTTGTGTCTCTTCACGACTTCATCCCTGCCTCTCCTGAAAAAGGGAGGATAAATAAGTAAATAAAAGATAGCAAACAGCTGGTAGCTGGCTTTCACATACCAGAGCTCACAAAACAGGACTTTCTCACTAGATGGAATTTATAGGCAGACAGATATTTTAAATACAAGGTGTTCGTAGTTTTGAGTTGTGCTCAGCTTTAGACAAAGAGATTTATTTTAAAACAACAGCTATTATTTTAATCTAGTTGCTTTTCCTATTTTCAAATTGTTGCTTTAAAAATAGTTAGGGTTTTTGGGATGGAGTAAATGAAACATCTGAAGTTATTCTTGCTAGGAATGTGCAAGGAGCTACCCTAAAACCTCTTTTTTCATTAAAAATAATGAAAACCCACACAACAACAACTCCCAGCAAGCCTTGTTTCTTTGCACTACTGTGAAAGGAAACTATTTCAGATGTAAAGACATTTTGCTTTGGTATTCTAATCTGCAACTGCAACATGCCTCCAGCTCGGTGGTAAACTGTTAAAAATAACATATTGGAATAACATATATGGAAAGAAAGCTTTCTATAACCAGAAAGAGGCTCAGCAGCTCTGCAGCTGTTGTCTCTTGCCACAGAGCTGTAGGTAAAGCTAAGCTATGCAGTTCCAGCCTTGCTTGTGCAAAAACAGTTGCAGAAGACAGCCCTGCTGCCTCTGCATAATGTAACCAGAGACAAGCCAGGTGGGAAGAAACCTGTTTATCCTATTAGCTTTCTCAATTAAGAACACAGAGCTTTTGTTGAGTAAGTTTTAAAACAAAGTCACTCATGTTCCTCAATAGTCTGTGATGTCCTGGGCTGGGTGGCAATCAACATTTGCCTTGGCATGCCATTCCCTGTTTGTCTCAGGCATTTAATTTTGTGGGTTGAGGCTAATTCTGTGTTCGCTACTTAGAGGAAAGTCATTTCTTCTAAGTTGCCTTAGGCAACTCCACTTTGTTATATATGCTGATGCAGACATTCCCCTAACCTGTAAGAAGAATACTAAATTAAGCATAAACACTAATCTGTAATCCCCCTCCCCCCCGCAGTGTTATTTCTGGATTCTACTGAGTACTTCCCAGGTTATATATTTAAACAGGACCTGAAATAAGCATCTTAAACAAGACACAAATACCTACCTTCTTCCGCTCCAGTCTTTCTTGCTCAATTTGCTGCATGATTTGCTCCCTTTCAAGACGAAGTTGTTCAGCTGCCTCACGGGCTTTGATTTCCGCTTCTTCCCTCTAATCAAAACGTGCAAAACATGATAGGTCCACTATTTATTTCAGGATGATTAGTGGATAGTGTAAAATATTTTATTTCTATGTATATATAAATATATGTATACATATCTGTGTTTGAGATTATACCTGTTTCTCAATTTTGGCCTGGAGCTCCTTTTCTTGCTTTTCTTTCAGCATTTGTTCTTCCTCAGCTCTTCTCTTGGCTTCCTCTTCTGCCTTTTTTCTAGCTGCTTCTTCTTCACGTCTTCTCTCCTCCTCTTTCTTACGAGCCTCCTCCTCGAGACGAAGTCTTTCTTCTTCTGCCTTTCTTTTCTGTTCTTCTCTTTCAAGCCTGCAAATATACATGAGAACATTTAAAAGGTTTCATCTTGTTTAGCATGAATCTTGTGGTATGTATGGCATACAGTCATCATTAGCTGTCTCTGCATCGGTGGACATCTTCTTGAAAAATACCAAGAATACAAGGAAGAGGTTGAGCACGTGCCCAGAATATCAAAGGTTTATTCCAACCTTAAATATAATAAATATATTAAATATAATGTCTCATAGAAATTATATTTCCCTTTAAAAAAAACACAAACAGGTTTGATCAAAGAAAAAACAAATCATTTCCATTCTAGTTTCCAATGGAATATAAAGAAATAATGTTCTGTAAGCTTCAATAATAAAAGACATCCCTCTTCCCCAGCACTTCACTTAGCTCCCAGAACACTGGTATCTATACACAAGCATATATTTCCGTCCTTCATTTTAGCTAAAGATAAACACATTGGATAAGTAGCAGCAAACAAAATCCACTGAACAGTGATATGCTCAAAAGAGTGGGTCTAAATATTCCACCTGTGCTGTTCACTGGCCCACTCAAGGACAGCATGTTCCTTCACCATCACAATCAAGAGCTGTTTTAAGAACTGAACAATCTTATCCCTGCATATTGGGGATATGGGAAATATTTCTGCTGGGCCAAACTGGCAGACACTAGCGATTTTTTTCCCCAAACATTCTCAGTAAGAACAGGCACAGTTGCATTTAGACATGTAGAGAGAGTTAGAGATTTAGTATTAGGGAAGGAAGGCATGATTAGTTGACATATGCAACCAGTGTCCAATATGGAGAACAACTCAAAAACTTGCTCCAGGAACAGAGCTGGAAATCCACTGTTTAGCCACAGCAATGTTCATTGTGCCCACACTCTTAAAGCCCTCAAGTGTACTGGGCAGGGAGATGAACTTCAGGTAATTTTTCTGAACACAAGCCTTGCAGTTTAAGGCATAAACTGTTACCACACGACGATTTCTTCTACATGAACTAGCTCATTTAAAAACTGCCTCAGATGTTTTTACAAGGTACTGCACACTGCAGTGTGGACATACCTGAAGTATTTGGATGAGTCAGTTTCTTCAGGCTTCTTGAAGGGGCAAAATTGCTATTTTCTAACTTCACTAGTCATAAAGACACTAATGAATTATGGATCCAAATTTAAATAAATTAACACTTAAATGTAAGCTTCTGTCTTGACTCTAAAAACATCACAGTTTCAAGCACCTTCAGTGATACAAGTCAAATTATTAGCTAATAAATTTTCACAAATCAGCAGTGATACCTTTCCCGTTCTTCTCTTTCTTGTCTCTCCCTTTCTTCTTGTTCTTTTTGCAGTCGGGCCTGTCGTCTTTTTTCAGCTAGAATTTTTGCAGCTTCTTCTGCATCAGTTGTTCCTGCTGTGATCTTCCCTGGAAGAAGACCAAGGGTGGAAATCAAAAAGGGAAATGAGAGAGTGCCCAGTGCTTCCTCACTGGCACAGCAGCTAAAATGGGCCAGGTTTACACTGTTATGCCACCTTTGCTTTCCAAAGCACACATCAGCATTTTCTGAAGATAGAATATGAGACAGGTAAGGGCATCCCTGTATTGCAACATTTTCACATTCGTGTTAACAGACATTTTTCATACAGGGGTAACCCTGGTGAAAACTATACATTACTGGTTCCAGCACGTGCTTTTACACTTATTCATAAACCCATAGCCAAATACCTTCACGAGAACAGTTCTTCACTGTTTGAACGCCTGCCCCATCGACCCGCAATACCTTGCAACGTGTTCTTGCATTAAATCTCACCTTCACTGCTTTCAGTCTTCCCTGCAGAAGGCACGTGCTTTTCAGAAGCCACCTGGCCTGCCTCATCGGGGCGTGCTCCTGGGGATTTTTGATGACTGGCATTTTCTTTCTCTTTATCTGCTTTCTTTTTAGGAGTTTCCTGGTTGAGATTAGAAGTGGCACGATGCTTCACAGGAGAAGCTGGATATTGTTTGGCATTTTTAGGAGACTGAGGATAAGTCTTTGCAACTGTCCTGATGAGGGAAGACAAAAATCAAAAACCGTCCACACATTGTGCAACTTCAAATCAAGTTCCATCTTTACATAGATCTTTCTTCCTTCTTCTTGGCTCTGGTTACATAGGAGTATCAGCTGTTTTGCACAATGCTGCATAGAAATTACCTGGATGCAAGCAATCAGAACCTGAAATGCAGGGAATTGGCAAGCAAGTGCAAATGACTACAGACTCCTTTAGTAAGACCAGTAATACTGTCTGAGTTGTAGGAAAGCAACCACAGACTACCTAAAAACAATTATTTTCATAATTCCATAATCATTTTGTCAGCACTACTGTATTCGAGAGCCTACCTCAACATTTAAAGTGAAGCTATGACTACTTTCTGTCTGCAGCAATGATGATGAGCCGCAAGGTGCTGCTTTCCTCAGAATACAGCCTTCTCAAACACCACCTTTCACTAAGTAGTATCTTTAAAATGCTTTTTTTGTTTTAAATAGCACCAAATATTATTATATACCAAGGTAAAGCCGGGCAGTGCAAGAGAAACAGAACTGACCAAACCGTTCCACAGCCCGTTCCACTATTTCAGCTGGTGCTTTCTTCAGCACCAAAAAGCAGGACTCAAGGCTCAAAGCCCAGACTGTGTAACCTGCTAGATGGCCACACTTGTGGAGATGGGATGGCACAGCAGCAGTGCTGCCAATGGATAGCTCATTTGGCTGCTGCATGCCTTAGATTACCTGATAACCCTGAAGTCAATTCCGGGAAAATGAAAGGGCAAGGACACACATTTTCAGTAAATAAGAGAAGAAATTACGAGGAAACAAAACTACACAAAAGAATCGTTCATTATTTATCTAACAGCAGTAACTAGCACTAAACACTTCTAACATTCAGAAAAGCCGGGCTGTGTGGCTAAGTGTTATGGAAGTAAGGAGATTACAATCTTAAAAAAGTGATTTATGCGAGCCCCATTAGAGGAAGCAAACCTATATTAAAGCAAGCATTACACAAGCAGTTTTAACCTTCCTTATGGATATATACAATTACGATATAAACGCATTATCCCCTATCACTTTTTTAATCTGCACAGTATACAGTTTCATATGCTACAGCCTATTTTCTGTACTATACACTCATTCTGGCAGACCACAGGCATGAAGAGCATGGGCAATGCCTTAAAATTAATGGACTAGAGTGCAAAGCTCTGTATAAACTTAACTATAGTATTGCGTGGCCAGAGACTATTACAACCGGAACAGGATTTGCATTACAGAGCAGATGATAAAAATTACAAGTCTTTCAACTCCCCCTCAATTTGTGAGTTCAGGAAAAGAAATTTATGTTGCACTTGAAAAAGGCTGAGCCACCAGAACACAGGGAGCTCACTTAAAGTTGCCCAGTTTATGAGGGAAACACTGTAGAGTACTGCCTGTACGCTCTTGTTCCCATGAAGAGCCACTGCAGACTGCAAAAGCCCTTGGGCTAGCGGAACAGTAGCACCCAACTAAATGTGAAGTTCAGCTCAGGTACCCTCTGCCCTCGGGCCCAGGAACTCCCTGTAAGCTCAGCTCCTTGACCTTGCTCCTCCCGTGAGCTAAGCTGCACAACTGCGCCCAGCCTCGTACCCTGATGATCCTGATGTCCTGGTTTGTCCTTAGACCTGAATAATTATTAAGGCCTTTGCTGTCCGTCACTGGACTCTTAGCTGACTGGTCACCAACACCTGACATGCCCCGGTCACCTTTTTTGGGTGCTGTGGGATGGGGCCCTGTGAGTGAGCTCCCTGTCCCTCCCTGCCCTGCTGCCACCCACAGCTCCTGGATTGCCTGCCATGCGGTGCAGCCCGCTCCTGCTGGACAGAAACAGGCATTGGAAGATGCAGAGAGGCAAGTCAGCGTTTCCATCCCTTGCAATAAAGAGCAATGGAAAAAGGTGATTAACATTGGTTGGTGTTAGTCTAGTCTGTTTTTATCATTGCCTTTAGTTTTGTCTTCATGATACAAATGCAATTCCCAAAGAGATGCCAAAGTCCCTACCTACTTACGAACAGTCTCAAAGAAGCGCCTCACCATTACACCATTTCATTTCATAAAAATATAATGCGTAAGTAGAAAGCAAACAACCTTTATGTTTCTCCAGAGCACAGAGGATGCTTCTTGCCAATCAGACACTGTTTCAAAGCACAGTCCCATCTTGCTGTCTTACATTTGACTTTGCCATGTATTTCCTGCAAGGCTTTCTATTTAACTTGTTTTGACAGGAGCAGCAAAACAGTCGTAACTAAGGCTGAGTCATTTTCAGTATTAGCACAGAAATAAGTAATTGTTCTCTAATAAAGACGTGACAATCAAATTAAAGAGGCTGGTAGGAAGGAGTCTACTTGTGACAGCTATGTATCTTGGACTGCATAGGAATTAGTGCAAACTGACTGTACAACTTACCTGTTGGACTAGAAATGTGCCCTAAATGCATGAAGTAAAACATCTTGAACTTTAAGACCTACAAGATTTTTCCATATAACTGTTTGGCCAAAAGAACACCTATGGCTTCGCTTGTTTTAAAAGAAACTAAAAGGGAGAAGCATATAAACGCCAGATTACTGTAAGGACAACAAGAGCGTACTGTGAGGAGTGAAAAGCTGAGAAAGCCCATCAGGAACAAAAAATCTTTTTTTTTCCAGAAGCTTAAGATCATTTATTTGATGCCAGAATGAATTATTAAATATAGTTTTTCCCCCTTGTATTTAAACATTGTCAAGTTAGCATTTTTAACATTCCTAAGCACAGGCAGAACTGTTAATGTGTAAAGCTTTCCTACTACTAGTATTTAGATTGATGCCACTTTTTTTTTTTTCCTCCACCAGAAAGGGACGAACTGATTGTGAAGACAGAGAACAGGATCATTAAGACAAACAGATCAATGCTTGCACTGGGGTCTGCCCGGGTTTAAAAATCATTCACTTTTTTTTTGCCTTGGGAGAAAGGGAAGGGAATGGAATGAAATGCTGGTAAGACTGTGGGAGCACAGGAAGCATACCAGATGAAGATTAATTAATTAAATAGACTCCTGAAAATCCAAGAAGTGGTAACACATCAGTTGTGTAGAAGTTAGCTAATCTGAGCCACAAGATTTTACAGGTGAATGCAGAAGCACAAGAAGCATCTTCCTGCCTCCATGAAGCCTTACCCTTCTCCTCTTGCCCCCATGTTGACGCAGGGGAAGCCATTTGCACCATGACCCCAATGTGCACTGCAAGAATCTCTACCATGTCTGAGAACCCACTGGTGCTTATGTTAGAGAGGCCCTTATTTCAGTTAAAGAGAAGTAGTAGCAGCCCGTAATGCAGAATAATGTCCCATGAACAAGTAAGCCCAGCAGAGGAGTTCTGACCTTATTCTGGCTAAGCACAGAAAACAAAGCACATGTAGCACATGAGTCAGAGGTCACAACCAATTTTGTCCATAAGAGGCATGAGAAAGAACAGCATGCTTTCTTTAAAAGCCAGGTACATGGCAGGTCATCGGTTATGGTAGTTAAGGAGGCTATCTTTAAATCAGAGATCAGCAGAGATCAATGCCAGTGCTGCCTTTTTCTTTTTTTTTTTTTTTTTTTTTTCTTTTTCTCTCCTATCTCCCTATTAACTCAACAAAAGCTCTGCTGGAACCATACCAAGGACTTTCATGTTCTCAAACTTTTCTTCTTAGATTACTCTGATCAAACACTGTTCCTGGGTTCTGACATTTTTGCTCTATCATTTGCAATGCTCTCTCAAAAGCAGTTCCTTTTTACTCTTAATTTTGATCTTTTCTAGCCACAGACAGATTTATTTCTCTTAGATTCCTTAAAAGAGCATAAACTCAGCATAGGTCTATTAAATATTACTGTTTGATAGCTGCATTATTACCAGTTTTCAAAACCTTCAGCTGGCCCATCCTTTAGGCTAGCTGCTGAAAAAAGAACTCCAAATAATCGCAATCTAACGTTTTAACAATAGTTTTCATCTTTGCAATGCAAACCAAAGATTGATACAAATAAATATAGTGGGTATCAAATAAAAAAATTAGATCTAGGTTAGTGGGGTCATAGAAGCTAGTTCTATAAGGAATTCACCACAAAATATATATCTTGCTAATGGGCCATTTTAAAAACTTTTAAAAGTCTGGGTATTTTTGTAATACCATACATTCATATTTAATCACTTTTCCGTAATTTGATTGCACAGATGTATTTCTTTAGTCACAGCGATGTCCCAGTGGCTGCAATGGGATGTCACTTACCTGAAAGAACCAGCAAGTTGCAGGTTCAGTTAGTGAAACTCTCAGCAAAGGGTAGTGGTACAAACAGAGCTGGAAACTAACAAGAATGACTAGCAGGGTTGCATTCCTCTTTCCCTCCCCCTCCCCTTTTTTCTCCTTCTCACATGAGATAATGGTTTGGCATAGTAATCTAATGTAGGGGCCTGTCAGAGCTTTCCATTTTTATTTGCTATGGCTTATCTGAAGGCACTTAAAACTAAAACCTACTTCCTCGATTCAGTCAAGTCCCATTGATTTTGAAGGGACTATTTACCCAAAGACATGCGAAGGACACAAGCATTATTGCTTTGCCAATCTATAAGATGGGACACTTACCAATTCTCTGAGGGACGCTGCAAGAATAAACTGATTAATGTATAGATCTTTGAAGATGAAACAACCCGGGGGAAAAAAACACTCTAAAATCCTGGTATTATTGAACTTGTGAATAGATCTGAAGAACAGAAGCATTTTACACAATTGTGTATTCAATAGCAATTGTAAAAATTAAAGATCATTTATCTATTTTCCTAGCTCTCTAATGCATTAACTGTCATCTTTGTCAGCTGATCTACACTGGATTCAAAGCAATGTTTTGTGTTTTGTGTTTCTTTCTTGTGTGGCGCCTCTTAATATCTTTATTAAAGATAAATTTCACAAATTTATTTTAAGATAAATTTGTCAAATTTCTTCATCCTTTGAAGTCCTTCCTTGCTTGTAATTATTCTTCACCATATACCTTTTTCTTTCTTTCCTCTTTTTATGTCTGTACTTGTTTACTCATTTTTTCTTGTGTATTATGCTTTGAGTTCGTCTTTTTTTGCACCTTCACAAACATTTTATTTATGCAATTACTGCAAATCCATTCTGCCAATCACTCTCTCTGTTCAAGTTACAGTTTTACTGTCTCGTTTGAGCCTATTTCAGTTACTCTACCATGACAAAGAAAGCTGTTTAATTAATAAATAATGAAATAAGATATCAAGAAGAGAAGACAGGCAACAACCACTCCCGAACCAAGATGACAACTGTAAAGAGCTAACAACTAGCACAATACCAAGTAAACTGGAACGTCAAGTCACATGTTTTTGAGAAGAAAAATGCCTACATCTAATTATCACCTAAATCACTGGCCATTCTTGATTCTTTACTCAATAACTTTCAAAGTTAAGGTGCTATACAGGATCACTAACTACTAATGCTGTTGAATACATATTCTTGTTTCTTCCACATGTAGCTTTTGGCCACATGGTGTGCTGGATGGAAAAAGATTAAACTTGTAAAAGTTTTCAACAAGAATGAGTATTTGTGTACATATTTACGTTAAAATCATTCTTAAGCTCCACAGTTAGCTTTAAAGGAAAAGCTAACATTATACAATCTAAAAGAAGGTTCCTATGCTTAAATCCACTGACTAGCCAGATCATCTGGCACTTGAGTTGCATGAAGAACTGCATATCTTTATATAATACTACAATATGCTGAATGGGATACTTTGTTTTGTTTTTTAATTTCTGAAGGGACAGTTCAAGAGCGCTGAAGCAGAACTGTCTTTCTGCAATCAGTAACAAACATGGATTTAAACTCTATTTGCTGCATCTCTCGTAAGGTCAAGAAGGGTGTTCAAACTGGGCCACGCTGAGATTAAACTCTCTGTAATACACTGGTAGCAGTGATCAGAATCAGATTCTCTTGAAGAAGAGAGGAAGAAAAAAAAAGGGTAACTATCTGGGGCTTACAATCACAGAGAAACCCACTAGAAGGCATCTTAATTCCTCCATATGGCATCTGCTTCTTCCTTTAAAAAGCAGAGTCTATATTCCTTATAGGAAAAAAAAATATTTTCCTGTAAAAAAGTTCTCATAATTTGCATTTGCATATCTGAGGAAAAAAATAAAACACCTCAAATGTTTGCCTAACTTTTTATGGAAGCCAGTTCTACAAATTAAGACTGGATATATTCTTTTCATGGAGAACGAAGCACCTGTTTCACAAAACCTCTTCCCCACCTCCATGTCTCTAGAACGAGCTGTACCAACCTTTTCAGTATCTGCCCATCACGACACGCTTCACACTCAGCAACCCATTTTCTGCAAATCATTTTAACTACACGTTTCTTGGTATGTCTTTTATACTGGTTAACCAAACTGAAAAACGCATTCTGAAGAGAAAATATCAGCAACCTCTAGAATAACATACATTTTTAGTGTGACCTTTTCTCTGTACTTTTTTGAGTGCCAACCGTAGCATGATCTGCTCAAAATTTTACTGAAAAAGCCATTCACCATTAACATTTCCTATCATTACATTCTTTACAAAATTATATAGTTCAGAACGTGATGATATTCTAGATATAATATTGAAAGTTTGAGCATTTGTGGCCCATAATATGAACCAAGAATTGTAATTTCACATTGCATGCAAGGGGATATCTGAAACAGAAAGAACGTCCATAGTCTGATGATTTCCTGCATTTTGTTTAACACCAGATGAACACACACAAAATCTTTCCTCCATTAAATGACCGTGCACACCGAGATGAAGCAGAGAAGGAATGCTAGCTAGCTCTTGAAGCAGAAATTTGTCAGGAAGATCACCAAGAGTGGTCCAGAACATAGCCAGATTCAGACAAAAAATATTTATAACCAGACCAGAGGAGATCATTTCCAACACAGAGCCCATGAACAGGGTCTAGAACAGAAAAAAGCAGACCACTACTGCTGACGGTTAGGCCTTAGAGAATTTCTGCATTTGAGCCAGACTTAATATCTTGTTCAAAGAAAGCCGAAGAGACATTTGGTAAGACCTGGGATTTGTAAGCTGTACACACAAGACTACAGATTTGAGAGAGTGCAAAAGAGAACTAAGAAAAGCAACACAGTTGGCAGTAAGGCCACACATGCCATAGGCCTACAGCTCTGCATGGTGCAGGGTGGGGGAAAGAGGTATGTAAGTAAACAAAGATTAAAACTGATGGTTTAGATGACACACAGTTAAGTATATTGATGGATCCAGATGGCAATGCCAGCAATAGGAAACGCATTTTAAATGCTGAAATTTCTATTTAGTAATTGTGCTCTATGCATTTGCTCAAAATCATATAAAACAAAAAGCATTCTTAAAAACAAATGCTTAGTAAAATTTCACAGGAACTATTAATTAGACAAGGATAATTTGAAATGACTGCGAAAAGGCAGCATATCTCCAGTGACTATTAACACAATTTTACATATATTGTATCTGCTCATCTACTTCTCTCTACATAGCAATATATATAGATAAAATTAACTGGATTATATACAATACTACAAAGGAAGTTCCTCAGGAATCTGTCTCTTTTATAGGTAAAAAGAAACTCAAAGTGTATGAGACCAGAGGCATACTTAGGTGTTGCAGGTGAGGCAGATCTCCTGGACATGGCAGCTGGAGAATCAGACCTTCTCAGAGGAGATCCCATACCAGATGAAGAACTGGGTGTGGAGGGTCGCTTCTCTTTCTTTATTTTCTCAGTCTAGAAACACCATTCATTTTAGTTTCCATAATTATGAGCAACATTTCAAAAATGTGTTTGATAGTTAATAGTAAAAAGATGGCATAAACAAAAAACTTATGTATGTTACACAAATCTGAACATCAGCTCACAATTGACATGACTTTTTTTTTCCCATATACATGAAAAATTATCATGTCTTGCATGGACATAGTATACAAGTTGCAAATTAAAAAAAAAAACACATCAGAGACAAACACGTCTCCAGGAGTTCTTGAGGGGAGAGGGTTTAAATCAAAATCAGACTGCAAGTTCTCTTAGACACCGTCAGTAGTACAAACCACATAAATGATGCTGGATGTAACAATGTGAATTGCACCTAAGTCAGATTACACAAAACATCATCTCCCAGCTCTGGTCCCTTCATTTGCACCCCATTCACATAGCATGAAACCCCTTACCATTTGATATTAACTATTCCAAGACACAGGATCTTATATAACACAAATTTACAGCCCTAGAGTAAGTTTCCTAGAACTTGTCTTATGTTGTGTAAACTGAGTGAAGGTGAAAGATTTATTTGCCTGTGGTTATCTGGAAACGACAGTGGATCAATAATGCAACTTCTAAGTAAACAGCATCTAAAACATCTACAAGAGCAACATGAATAAGAGACAGGCATGGCCAATACTTCTGGCAAGTTACCAAAATATGTGAAGCTTGCTAATTAACCAGCAAGACTGGACCGACTTAGAGTCAGTCATATGCGGTAGAGAGATCCTGTTTGTCATCCCCATTCCCAGAGGTTACAGGCAATTCTAAATGTATGCACTTCAGCGCCAGAAATCTCACTCCCCCGAAAATAAAGGTGTTGTTCCAAATACCACTGCTTAACATTGACTCCCAGGAGGAGGAAAACATTAAAATGTAACTAAGCAGGAATGTGAAAACAGCAATGTGAAAACATGCAAGACTTACTTTCTTACAAAAAGGGGCATCACTTTATTTTTATGAACATAAAGTGAAAGCCAACAAGCAGAAGCCACGTCAGTTTACCCAGAAGTGAAATCAAGAGCATTCTAAACCCACCTGAGTAGCTTCAGCTGCAGCCGCCCCTTTCATGGCATCCGAAGTGGAGGGCGAAGTTGCCTTCTTTCTGTCTGTGCTTCGGGTGGGGGAAGGCTTGTAGGGAGATTTAAGAGGACTAGCTGGTGCTACACGAGGACAGATATGGAATACTAAAGAGTTATAGTACAATAGCAAGAGTAAAAGGGAGCACAGACAGAGGAGGCAAAGGAGAGGAGAAAACAGCATACTTCTATGTTATAATATTCAAAGGTTGTTTTAAAGTTTTTAAAAAAGCATTTACAAACATCACATTATGTAACACATTCAACATAGCCCCGTATTTGCTAAAAATGCCTCAACTAGAAGTAACATTCTATAAGACTTTTTTTAAAAAAATTATCTCTAACATACCACTCTCATATACTTTTTGAATCACTTCACTGTGACTATGATTCTTTTCTCTTTTGAAAACTCTGGCTTCCTGTCAATATGATTAAAAAGTGTAATAAAATAATTCTAGCTGGGTTACTTTTGAACAAATACTGTGAATCAGGAAAGGGAATAAAAGAATAAAGTTTTTTTTTTTTTATACATATTTTTAAAAAGCCTAAATGCGGCCAAGGCTCCTAAACACCTCAGTTGCTCTTCAGAATAATACTTAAATTATTTAAATAAATTCTAAATAAATGCTGCTGTAGGTATTTCAGTTATTGTCATTAGTGGTAAATATGAGGATTGAATAGGACACATGCACTGCAGTTTACAAGGCAACTCTTTCTGGATTATTTCTTTTTTACCTGCAATATGAACAGGGTTTTTAAAAAAATGAGATATTTTACTCTTTTTTCATTCATATTGCTTTCTAAGATGAAGCTTTCACAGACATATAGAACAATCAACAGACTATATGCTCTATTAATACGAAACATGCAAATTGTAACCATGTGACAGTGTTTACAGCCTTACTTTATTCCACCGAGGTCACGAAGGATATTGACTTTGGAAAAAATGTTAATTACACACAAATTTTAAGGAGAGCACTTTTTTTTTCTTTCAAATATCGAGGGCATTCCTATATAATCTGTTATGATGCCTCTTTGCATGCTTTCCAGTTTAAGCGGATCTGTGTTTTCCTTGACTGACTTTGCAGCAACTGGACAAAACTTTGTTGGATGTTAATAAAAATGTTCAGAAACTTGATTGCTGCTTAAGGTATTTCTACTTCAACCATTAAAAAAATGAATTATTATAATCTTCCAATAAAAACTGTTTGCCTGAATATCTTGAGTTATGTTAATAATGTTTTGCCTTAAAGAAAGAGTCTCAGAAGTGAGAACCCTCATTTCTAAACTTATAGAAAATGCAGGAGCAGAGTAATTTTGACCCAAACATGATCTCAGGGGGCATGGTATCCACTATGAAAAATAAAGACCCTATTCCCTGTTCTGGAAGTTACTTCTGTTGAGAGAAGTACACCTCAAATAAGAGATCCTCCTTCAAACTTTTTGCTGACAACTACTGTCAAAACCATCAATGGACACTGGGTATCGATGTTCTTTGCAATCTGTGCTACGGGTCGATCGCCTTGCAAAGAAATGACAAGAGGACGCTGGTTCAGAGCTATTCCCAGAATCAGCATTCTAATTTCAGCTCAGGGAAAAGGCGATCTGCAGGCCAAATTGCATCCTTGTCAGACATGCCAGCGTGCTACTTTAAAAACTCTGTGATGACGAGGGAGATAAGGCTGAGAGTTTACAAACAAAATGACTGGAGAAGGACAAAGAAAGTCCCTATTGATTTCTTCAATATCAAACACAACATAGAAAACATCCAAGCAATGGATGGTCCAAACAATTTACTTCAAAATTTCCAGCAGACTATTCTGATCTAGTTTTGAGTAGGCTTTTTTTTTCCTTCAGTCTTGGTAGTAGTTGCTCCCTGAACAGTAAGTAAACTGGGAATTTTCTCATGGGCAAAGTACTGTATGACAACATTTCTACTCCTAGCAGGTGCTACCTTTAATTTAAAACTGAGGGAAGTAATTTCAGGGTCATTCAAAACCAACATCCTTATGCACTACAACAAGAAGTAACGCACAAAGGAAAGTACAATTACTTTGTAATTAATTTTTAAAATGTTTTGTATTAAAAAATCACAGATGTAGGACCTGAGCCTACTGTAATTACAACAAATGAAAATACAGAACATGAAAATGGTAATCTACTGTCTAACCAGTTTCATCCTTAAAAAGTTTCCTTTGGCAGACAGGTGTTTTGTTTTTTTTTTTTTGGTTGCTTTTCTGCTTTTGAATAAAAGTGTGGGAAAAGCTATTAAACCTTTTTCCTTGTTTCTGCAAACACTATGACAGCAGGAATAACTTTTTCACTAGGAATTACTCAAAGTAAGGCCTGTGCCTAAGTATTAGCAGGACTAAAAACATTAATTTTTCATATTTGCAAAATAAGGATTTTATTAAGACCGCCATTTACATACAGGAACAGTAATTATCTTCCTTAACTTTTAGTTTCTTAAAGATTAATATTTTCTAGAACTTATACCTTCCAAATCAATGTGTCTACATTTTTTCCTTTAAGCAAATATAATTTGTGTATTTGTATGTATATACAAAATGTATGTATGCCTACAAAAATAATAGACATACACACAGAGTTAAAGACAAAAAGTGATTTAACAGCAAAGAGCTGTAACCCTGATAAAAATATTAAAGGCTCAAATGGTACACTGGGAATTTTGCTCTGCATACTATTTGGATGTAAAAGATGACAACACTACTAACAAGAGCAGCTTAGTTAATAGTCTATTTTGTGCTACCACAGAAATTGTCATTTGGTTCATAGTACTCCACTTTCTTTAGACAACTACTCAAATGCAACCCAAAACACACCTTAATGGTTTCAAAAATTCGCATTTTTACCTGGATTATTGTACTGCTCAGAAAGCACTAATGTACTTCTGCTTCTGGCTAAAGACGACTGTGTGGGAGTCAGCAGCCGAGAAACAATAAAGTTTTCCATTGGACTAAGATGCATGCGGTGAGCTGAAGGATGGGAGCAAATAAAATAAAATTTAAAATGCAACAAAACAAAAACTATGTTAAAATAACAGAAACAAAACAATGAAATGATTAAATGAAATGAAAGTCTTGAAGTGTTTGAGATTTTAAGTATTTAAAGATAATTTTCATTCCCTCTGAAAAGCAGTTTCTTGTTCCTCCACCACTTTAAATTATTTTTCAACCTGTACAATAAATACAGTAAGGTTAAGACTATGTTGAATTTTGTTCTCACACAGAGCAGTGTTCCATTCCACAAAATGGTGGCTTTCGTGACTCAGCATGAGAAACACTTGCTGTCTTCCCCAGTAGAAAGGTGAAATAGTTGGTGTAACAGTGCAGCTACACTCTAGTGTGCCAACCATACTGGAATGCATTTAAAATTTGCAGTCTCACTGCATTATATAAATCTTACTTATACAATATGCCTGCATTCCCTTCTACCCTCTAAATATAAGCACCAGCTATATAAGAAAGATATTTATAGATGTTCTTATCGCATGCATATGTAAAGCCACATATCACAATAATCTCAAAGCTATTGATGAGTTTTCACTAAGCAATTCAGAAACAAAAGCAAATTTATTTTCACTTTTCATTTTAGAAATGAGCCTTTACTGTCTCTTATTTCAGTCAGCATTTTGTTTCTGAATTAAAAAAAGGCAGAAGGAAGGTGGGAAGAGGAAAAAAATACAAAAAACAAAACAGAAAAGATCCAAACAGTTCACAGAGGGATAAATCCTTCAGTCCCCTAGTCAGTGTTTAGCAACCACTAATCCTGCAAGATGATCATCTTTTGCTGAGTGTCTCATGGATCAGGGCATCAAACCAAATTAAAGGGCTCTGAACCTCTGGTCACCAGGCTGAGGTCTCCCAAGTGACTCATCGGACGTACTTCTGCCAATGGTATCTATTGTCCAGCCTTGTTTGCTTTGCTTTGTTTTTAATTACTTGGCTAAAAGATTACAAACTGTAGAGTTATGGGAAATCGCTGCAGTCACAGCATGTACAATCTTGTTTGCTACAGTATCAAAAGTTGAAAAAAGAATCCGTAAACAAAAAAAAGAACACCAAAAAAAGCCAACACCACAGCATTTGTCCCTGGCCTAGGATCTCCAGCAAGGCAGCACAGTCTTGGGACAGGCTATTGAACTGTTTTATCGTATTCCATATCAATAGTTAACTTACAGCCCCCCAAGTGTTTAATGGCTTTTGAATCATAGACATAAGAGAGTTGCATAGATATATGGACAGAAAGAATTGCTTTTAAGCAGGAGAGTTTATGCTGGCAGGAGACCAGCATTTTCACTTGCCTCTGTCGGGGGAATGTGTTATTGCCGCTGTGGAGGAGGAGAGGCGCTTACTGATTGGCGATTCCATTTGCTTTGGCAGGTTCATTGTAGAAGCTGAAAGTTTGTCACATGCTGCAGAGAGACGCATTGAAGATATTTGTATTCTTATCACAGCGTTGATAAACTCCCCAAATTAACCTTGCATTTGTACTCATGGCCCTTGCCACTGATCACAGCGCTGGATGACTAAGGCATGAGGTATGCTTCGTCTGGCTGCCAAATGACCAGCGTCTTTTAAGACGTGCTTTGGGATGCAACTTTTCTGCTTGTGAATTTAACATTTCAGGTACATAACAGCCTGTGTTTTACAGTGCCACAGGCAAATAGCTATGTATCAGGTCTGAATGAGGGAAGCCATTCTGATACAAGACAATCAGTATCAGCACAAGCAGAAAGTTACCTAAAGAGTGGGGGGGGAGAACTTTTTGGTACTACCCCAAGTGTGTGTGTTTTTTTTTTTTTCTGTTACTTCTTCTCACTGCTTGACAAAGCTTGTTTGAGCACATCCCTTTTCCTACCTTGCCATTTATTCAACAGAATGACTGGAAAATGCTGTTCAACAAATGTTATTACCAGAGTGCACTCCTCTATGATGATCACTGCATGGTGCTCAGAAGCACAGCAAAGCACAAATGCTTTGCCCTTTAAATTTAAATTGTTTCTTTCAAAAACAAAAACTTTCAACTAAAGACATATGTGTGGCCCCAATCTGCAGCACCTCAATTACTGCATTCCCTATAACATCCCCAGAAACCCCCTCAGTGGGGTCTGCGAGATTTGCCTCCACTTATTACAGTAAATTACAATTCTCTACATTTACAAAGCAGACAACGCTTTGTAAAGCAGGTAGCTCACACCAGCTGCACATCCAAATCTTTGTGCATGAGCAACAATCAGTACAAAAATTCGAATGTTTGTGCAGAAATAGTTCTGCAAGAGCACGGGCCCAGCAATCAATAGGCTGCGTTTTGCAGAAGGAATAGTCAAGCCTCGCTCCTCCTCCTGGGGGAGAGAAGGAACCGAGCTCTTAAAGCACTGGCTGCATTACATTTTCAAAATGTCATGCACATTTTAAATCAAAATTAGAAGTCCTATACGTAATTTGTTCTTAATCTTGGAGTGCTGCCCTTTAATGGGGAATACTTAAAAATACTAAGATAGATAAAACTGAAAGGCACAAAAGAAAACAAAACGTGATTGCCTAAACACAAAGTCAACTATTGGAGTTTGTTACAAATAGCAGCATGGCCAAAACCTACTTCAAGAGGCTGAAAACATAGCATGGCTGTTTATACCATGTGTGCTTTATACCATGAGTGTGCTCATTCTGAAAATACTGCAGAAAAAGGCCCTTGAGATTTGAAAAGAGGACTGCTCTGACGAAACGCTGACTCCGTAACACGTTTTCTCCTACTGATTTTTTTCAAAACAGCACCTGCACACATACATTTGAACTGTAATATATGCATATTTACATTTACACACACACTCAAAAACACAGCGGACCCACAGAATTAACAGAGATGAGAATCTGGGCTGTAGAAGCCTACAGTTAGTGAGAAAATCATGAAATGCCTCTACTGTGTCGGAATGTGAGGCATGCACTGCTCCACATGAGAAAATTAAAAGGAAATTAAAAAAGACACTTGGTCCACATCACTAAGGGTAATGCTGGAGAGTATCAGACTGAAATAATAAGAAAACAGTGGTTAGGGAGGACAAGATCAGTGGATGGGTTACGGTGATTAGAACAGTTATAAACGAGACACGATGGTACTGTGATTCTCTGAAATACCATTGAAGGAATCAGCAGGAGCGGTAGAGGTCACAGGGTCTGGAGGAAGGGTGTTGGCAGCTAAACCTAGAACAGGGGGTGGGGTATTTTCTGATTCACCTACACAGCAGAAAAATCAGAGCAAAAAGAGGTGAAAGAAATTACTGAATAAGTTGGGGGAGGTGGAAGTAAGCATAAACTGCATCACAAAGACAAATCGGATTCTTTCTCAGAGTATGAAAGACTTTTTATTATCATGTATATTTAATTTCCTGGCTTTTTTGATGGCATTCCATGAAAATTAAGACATGAAACAGTTTGCTGTTTTAGAGTTAAATATACTTACACACTGTTTTAAAAAAAGGTCATTGCCACGCAAACATGGAAATGTTTCCCTATAACTACAATTTACTAAAACCTGGCAAATTAAAATAAATTATGATTTAAAACAGAAAACATGCATATTTTCAAAATATAAAAGCAGTACATGACTGATCATGAAAAAAAAGTATTTTTTCTGAAGTCAAATCAAAAAGAGCAACAGCAAAAGTATGCGGGAGAAAAAAAATTGAACTGAAGATGCTGCATAGTCATCTAGAAATTCCCGTTAGGTTTTTAGAAGTACCAAACAATGACAGATCGTCTTTTGCAAGGCTTGGACAGCACTTAGTCCTTTAGTGAATATTAAATTTGCTAACTGTATGCGTGGGAAGACAATGAGGGGGAAGAGAATAAGGGAAAAACAGCACTAATTTTGATTTTAGCATCTGTCATCCTCAAAACAGATTCTGATTACTCTATTAAAAAAGATTTGCATTCCTAAAGTTAGGAGTGACCTTTTTTCCCCAGCAACTGTTAGAGAGAGGGAGCCTGGTGAGCAATTACAAAGCATTTATTCACGCCCCGAGGCAGTAGCCCCTGCAGCACCACACTAACTATAAAACGCACCCTCCTTGCTATCTCCAGCACCTCATGCATTTTGCACTTCAGGATCTGCAATGCAGGCAGCCCGTTTCCCTTACCGTCTCTCCCTCCTGAGCCTGCAGCCAGTGCTCCTCCCCACGACCATCGCTTCTGCTTCTGTTCCAGCTGCTGGCTGCGTTCAAGGGACCGCCGCATCATGGCTTCTAAACGTTCCTGGGTACAATCGTACAAAAACAGAGAAAAACTGAAATCAGTTCTTTCAGGGCTTTTTTTATTTTAGTTCCCATTCCGAAACCATGCTAAAAATAAGCTGTTCCTCTGATGCTCGATGAAGGATGTTTGCAGGAGCTTGTTTCCAACAGGAGAAAAAGGGCTGAATAAAGCAGATATCAGCATGCTACCTACCTCCAGATATGTGTATCCTTTGTCTGCAAGCCACCGAGGTCACTACAGAGGCCTAAGTAAATAACACAGGTTGCATCACTGCCTAGCATCTGCTCCTGCTGGTGATGCTGCTGCTGTGCCCTGGACTTAATTTGTATAAGAATAATGCTCGACAAGCATTAACTCCTTCTTGTCTATGCAGAACTCGGGATTTCTCCCATCCCCTTTCTGAGTACAGCTAAATTGCTGCAATGCCAGTGGCTCCTCCTAGCCACGCGGATAAATGATCCCTTCAAACCCAAAGTAGGTTACTTTGCAGGATGGCCAATTTATTTATTTATTTTGGGGAACACTCCCTTTTTTCTTCCACTATCTTCTTTACAGTCTAGCCGCAGGCATTTAAAAGCTGCTTCTTTTTCCTTTTTTTCTCCCGTGTATTTTTTTAGTACATGCCCAGATCACCCTGCTCTGAGCTATCTTTTTTTGTGAACCTCCATATTCCTCTCCAAGGCTTGATGAGTTAGGATTTTCAGATGGGAAAGAACAAGAAGTCTCCTTCCCTCTCCAAATCCTGTTCTACCTTTAACCAACAGCTAGGTATGGTTTTGTTTCAACTCCACCACCTCCTAACTCTCATGGACCTCTACTCAGTTTTGTTGCCACCTCCTCTCCCTACTAGATTCTCCACAACTTTTTGGGGCAACTCTCTCTGCACCTGTCTTCCTCCTTTCAAGCCCATAAAACCTGGATCGTCCCCACCCACCATTCCATCACCTACCACCTTCCTTCCTTCCTCCTCTTGGTACCTTGCTCACTTCTGGCAACCTCTTCATTCTCCTGGTTCAGGAAGACAGTCTTTACTCGTGCCTCCAGCTCCTGCCCCAATCATTTTTAACCCTTTGATGCTATTAGTAGTTCTCGTCCTATTGCTTACTTACTACCTTTGCTATGTCCTTCCCATCCTGTATAAAACTCCCATTCTATTTACTTCAAGCTCTCTCTTGCAGGCTTCTCACCCCAGAAGCACAGTTTCTGTGGTTACATCACAGCCCCTTCCATTTCTACCAATCCCCAGAACCACCTCCTGCATCTTTTGATAGCTCAGCTCAACTGCACTGAAAGCCTTTCTGCATCTCTTGGCCAGATTATTTCTTCTCACTGACTCATGACTTTGGTCTAGGTCTCCTATACCCCTCCCTGCCACATTTTCATCACAAAATCTCAGTCATTGTTCAAGCACATCTCTTTCAGTCTCTACAAAAGCCCTGTATTCTCCAACAGAGCAGACACGAACACCAGGCACCTCCAGTAACTACCATGTTGGGAACCTTTATGTACACCATCCATAAACTTTGTTACCTTCCTGCAGTCACCTGTAGTCACTGACTTTCAATAACAGCTGATACCCCAAAGCTGTTGGGAGTGTATCTTCCTCGTGTTTGAGGAATCTCTTCTACCACCACGACTTCCAGTATTTTATTTCTGACCAGGATTTCCCACCTCAGCCAGCCCCACTACCAACTATCCACTGATTCCAACAGCCAACCGCTACCCTTTTGTCCTCAAGTTTTCTTAATTTTCTCACCTATCACTTATACCATAAATTCCATCACAGATTCCTCCAGACAAGGAATGAAAAGAGGCACTCAGCTCTCTGTTACCTTTTGGCCAGTTGACCCACCCTGCTTTTACAATTTTTGGTGCCATCTCCAGGAAGACCATCTTCTGGTCCCCTGTTCCGAACTCACTTTTTTACCTTCCTTCTGTATCTTTAGCTTACGGTGTATCAGGTAGAAAGAAAGCAGCTGCTTCCTCCTTTACACCCCCTTTTTTTTCTTTCCTCCTATCTAGTCAGTGGCATCAGTGTTCAGGCAGGCAGGAATGCAAATCATTGTCCTTCCTCCCACCCTTTTTTTTTAAACCCCCTTAAGAGAACATGCACGAAGCATCACAAAGCTCAAGCACAGACCTTTCCATAATAGCATAGGAAAAAAAAGAAGAAAACACGCATGGCTTTGAATGCTCTATTACTTCTTGTCCATAGTTTGGATATGTAAAGAAAGTAATCTTCCAATCTCAGGAATCCAAAGTTACTGTCCTGTAGCTAGCTACGATCTTTATTTCCTTACTACTAAATGATGCAATTTTCTTATTTAAAACCTGTGTGCTGGCTCACTATTTCAACTTCATATTTTCCACTTTTAACAACACACCTCTCAACATTAATTTCATTCTATTTCAGGCCCTTTTCTGTACTCTTTTCAAACCTGTTATTTCAGTACCTGTTCTCTGCAGTTCGCTTCCTTTCATTACTTTTTTTTCTACTATGGCTCTTACCCCAAAATACCTTTCTAGCAACAAAATAAAACAACCCTCCCACTCCTTTCCTATTAAAGCATACAATTCTACAGAATCTTCTTTCTTTCCATATCTAATTAATATCATTGCACATTAATAAAAGAGATGGTGTGAAAGCAGACAAGCTTCAATTATCTGGGTGATTTATGACCTTTTTAAATGCTGCTCGGAGCAAAGGCCAGCACTATGTTCCAGCTTGGAAACCACCGAATACACTTACACCACCTACCATGAGGGCATTGTTCTAAGAATCAAACAATGTATATGATGAAATAATATAAAGAAAATAAATGATTTTTCATTTCATACATATATGAAAGCTCAAACCACACACATCCTGAGGTTGAAATCTTCAATTACTCAACGTGGAGAAGCCATCATTTATTCTCATTTGCAAAGAGCCTTTCATTAAAGTGCTACAGAACATAATGATTAAGCCACATGAAACCCTGCAGATATATCTTAGATAAAGAACAATATGAAGACCTTCTGCACAAAGAAAGGTCTGTTATTAAAAAGCATTAAGTTAGCACAAGGCTGAATGCTAAAATTAAAAAGCCAAACAAAGCCAAAAAGACAAAGAGAACAACTGAGATGCACAGAAGCATAGCATAAACAGCTCATACATTAATAATCTTTTTGCGACAAAAACTAAACAGCAAGACAAAGTGTTTCTTCATCAGCAAACACTGTGGAAAACCCCTCCTATGTTATAGACATGGAAACTTCTTAATGACATACCCAACTGTCTGGCCCTTGTTTGGGAATTCTAATTGCTATAGATTGAGAAAAATCTCTGCACTGGGTATATAGTTATCTTCCACAAAAAAACATGTAACGTACAAGCTTCACACGTGGGTTAACTTAAGAATGAGTAAAAGCATAAAAAGAGAGCCATCTACTGCTAGTAACTAAACAAACATGTTGCTTTCCAAAGCCCATATAGTTATTCATGCGTGTTTTTCTCAGACTAAACAACAGAACAAACATTTGGGCTGCCTGAATTAAAATACAAAACAAAAAAAGAACTGTGAATACAAATAATTTGACTGAAGTACTTTCCTTTTACTTATGTAAAACATGACGCAGATGCGAAAACAAAGAAAAAATAATTTTACAAGTATTATGACTCATTTTGTGCAAACAATGCTAAACCGATCTTCCTTAAACCTGCAATAAAACATCTAAAAGACCCAAATGTAAGATTAGAGAGGAAAAACTCTTCCTTTTCTTTTCTATATTCATCAGTGCCGTATGTAAGTAGCTGTCTCCTGATCTTATCAGTTGGCCTCATCTTCTATTAGAGAGGCTCCTCCACATAACAACAAAAAAGCTATTGTTTTCTACTTAAAGAAAGGAAAAAGATTTAAAAAAAATCATTTTTTAACTACCCCTTCTGAATATAACTCATTTCTACCCCCAGCAATTTAAAATTATGGGTGTGTATAAAGAGAAGACTTACACAGAAAAAGGGCGTGTGCATCAGAGAATAAAAGGAGGGGACAAATGAAGGCTCTGCATTACTGTACGTACGTGTGGAGCTGGAGCAGCACTAATGGCAGAGGGGGAGCACACAGCAGCAGAGAGGATGCTCATTATTACACGGAGGACTAAATTCTCCTCATGTCCACTGCAGAGCAATCAAGAGACTGCTTGCATAGCAATCTCAACCAGCTTGCAGCAAAATTTCTGTGTTACTTGTGCAACTGAATTCCACTCGTTATATGAGCTGCTACCAGATTTTGAAAGGTGTTTATTAATTACATATATTATAATTAGAAAAGTAAGTAATTGTCACTATACCATCCACCTTGGTTTTTCCACCTTGTGTTTAAGCGCATACTTTTTTCAAATGTAACAAGCACTGGACATACGCCAAAATAAACATCTAACTAAAAAAAAAATCTTCCCCGTGCTGTAGGATGTTCTTTTCCTTTTAACATTGATCTGTTTAAGTTGGCATGCTGGCCTAGATTTGATGCTGTCTAGCTTTTTACTAGTAGCCGTTCATTTAAATATTAATATATTGGTAGGATCAGTACTAATATTATCAGTTCCCTTCTTAACAATATTTGATAGTTTTAATTAAAACTAATTTTGACTATATGGGTGCTCTCACTCCTATTCACACTACTACCCTTAACAAACATCACTTGTATGGGCCATGTATTGTTTCATGGACTACATGAGCACTGCTTCTAAAGAGACTTCCCAATATACTACGTGTAGGAAGGCATTTATTTACAGTGCACTTCCAAAGCACATGGAAGCTTCAAGGTGGGAAAAGGGGAAAAAAATTAAGCAAACGAGGACCAGCTCTGCTTTTATTCAGCCCCAACTCCAACTGGCTGCTTGCTGTTTAAAACAACTCGTTGATACCTTCAAGTTGAACACCACCACTCTTCTTTCCTCAAGGCTCAGGGATTGCTTACGCTAAGGAGAAGGCAGCTTTAAAAAGAACGTGGAGGGAGCAGCACTGCTACTGAATACCTCTCTAGATATGAAAGTTGCAGTAAATGTAGAGCAAAGACTTTCAGCAAGGATTCTCAGGCCCATTTATTCACTTTCTGCCTGAGGAACTGGAAACACTTCCATTTTACTCTGAGGGAGCTCCAGTTGCCCTGGAGAATAACTCTGCTAGAATACCTCTCTTTCCATTAATACAAAATTGCCACCTCTTATCTGGCAGTGGAGAGGGAATAAAAGCAAAATAAATCAAATTTTGGTCACCTCCTCTTTGACAAGGCCTTTGCATACAAAGCAGCTGAGCATAGAAAGCTCTAATGTACGAAATGAACCAGAGCCATTCACTTCTCAAACTCTTACAGACACAACAATATTTTTAGAGTGAGATTTATATAACCTGTTCCTGTCACAGACATGCGCTGCCTTCTGCTGTGCTAAAAAGCAAAAAAAAAAAAAAAAAAAAAAAAAAGACCCAAGGAAGATACGAAGGATAACCAATAACACAGGCAGCAAGGAACAAAATCTCTCTATTGGGCACATCAGACACCTGATGGGCAGGTAACATCGGTGCTCCAGTCTCCACCCAAGTAAACCAGTCTTAAAAGAAGAAACACCGAGCACATGCTGTAGTATGCTGGCTCACTGGCCAGGTCACAAACCCACAGGGTGTGGGAAACACAGGCTTCAAGCTCTTCCAGTAAAGACAACCTCAAATGTCCAGAATGATTCAGGTGCAGTGAGTGATTTGCAATGCCCATGGAGCTGTGACTTCATCGCCGTCCTTACTCAGACCTCCACTACTACTGCATATATGGGATTAGAGGGGAGAAACCCGTGGCTCATCAGAGCTGGGGGGTGGATTTGGCAGATCCTTTAGTAAATTTCAAGTTTGAGAAATGAAAGAGTGACAAGTAGCTGTGAAGCAATACCAGGATGTGGTGGTGTCTCCTCTTCCTAATCCCTTTCTTCCCTCATCCTCCTCTTCTCTACAGATTATTACTCCATGTACCCTTCCCTCCTTCAGAAACTCCTGGATCTTCCCATCCATCAGGGATAATCCAACCCCAAACACGCACCCACCCTCTCCTGTCCTCCTGCCCCCAGTAGCCCTTCCTCAGCTTCCTCAGCCCATGCAAGGCGTTGGACAGTTTAAGCTTGAAGGATGGGCTGAATGAGCAGATCTTTGAGCGCTGGTATTCATTCAATGATCACAGACTTGGAGGCAACAACCCTTTCTTCAGTCATTAAAGAAGTCTCCCAGTATGGGAACTCTCATGTTCCACAACCCACCCTTCCATTTCTCCAGTGTGGGTAAATCATGCAGGCAGGCAAAGCAGGCAAGTTGCTCACTTTGCCCACACCCCTCCCCTTCCCTGCCCACCTCCAGTGCAATTTTTGAGGACAGGGATTTGGAAGTGTTTGTACTTGCCACTTTCCTTTACATCCCCCATGAAGGAGATCGATTTTGCTTAGCTGCAAAAGGTTATCACAGCTGGAAGTACTGGGGAAGGAGAACATCAGGTCAATGATGTTACTGAGGAAGGAGATAGATCTCCTAAGCCTTTGTTTCCGTTTTTGTCATCCTTCTTAACAAAATTTTAAACTATTCACATGACAAAACATTTTAAAATGAATTCTCAGCTAATTATGCAGAAGCCAGAAACACTATGTTACAGTTGAAAGAGGAATGGCAGGATATAATTTACTGTAACCTGAAAAGAAAATTTAGAGAAGAATCAAACACAGGAGGAAAAAAAATACACACACACAAAGAAGTCTGTTATTCTGATCCCACGTGGAAGTGTTTCATCTCTTTTGCAAAGACACTTGATCAAAAGGTGTGGGGGGGAAGGCTAATAACTGCAGATTTCTAGGGCATTTTTTCTACAGAAACTAAGGAAATACCTTCTCTTGCCTTTTTTTTTTTCCCTAAATCACTGTCCCCTTTTCCTAAAATCATTAATTCTTTATCAGTTGCAGTCGCAGTGCTGATGTTTTCTACAGAATGTGGTGAAGGCAGACACACACACACACTGCAACCAGAGATCAGCATCAGAAATTGGACTCACTGGAGGGAAAAAAAAAAAAAAGACCTTAAATGATCTCAGTGGAGAGAATAGAAGAGAGAGGTATGATTATTTCTGTTCTACAAATTTAAGTCAGACTAGATTCTTCACTACTTTAAGAATTCCTCATTATATATTACCGGGGAAAGAAAAATACTCATTTCTTTATGCTGCCTGTGCAACTGAAATTGCATTTATGGAAGTGTAAACAAAATCTTGCCAATTTATGGAAACACTCATCTTTAAAAGCTACCTTCCAGGACGTTGCTGCTTTACCACCTGACAATCAGAATCCCAGATGTATTACTGTAAGTAGATGACTATTTTGTGAGATCAGACAAAAATCAAGAGACAAAAAAGCTTGGGAAAATGTTTTTGATGTACAAGCAGTAGTATTTATGGCTGTGGTGATTCACGGAGTTCACAAAGTAATGTCCATATGTCTCTGGGACAAGAAAAAGAGAAAGAAACCTGCTGTGCATGTCAATATTCTGCTATCTGTAATGCTAACAGATACAGCTGCTCTGTTGTATGAATCCCAGCGGACCTTACCTCCTCCTCTTTAAGCTTTTGCCTCCTCTTTTCTTCAACAGCTGCTCTCTTCTGCTCCTCTCTCTGCCTCTGTTCCTCCAGTCTTCTCCATCGTTCCTCCACATGCTTTTCATATTGAAGTTTTGCTCTCCTCTCCTTCTCCAGTATCTGCTGCTCCCTAGCAGCTTAGGCAGAAAAAAAAACATGTGTTTCACTTAATGCAAATTTTCTCCTACTTTAAAATTACTTGTTAGTGTGACACAATAGAGTAAAATAACAAACACAAATACACAGGCTCTTTTAGTGCACTAAGATCAAAAGTACAGTGCACAGAAATGCATGAATGACTAATAAATTCAACTGATATACTATTTAATATGGAAGCCCTTTGTACGTAGGTGACAGTTTGTCCCCCCACTTGTGTAAAAACAGCGTGCAGAATAGTTAACGATTCTTTTATCTATATAAATATATATAAATCCTTCTAATCCCTCTGTAGCTTAAAGCCATTTTTTTTTTCAGACATAACAAATGCTCCCACTAGGTTTTGAAGTGAATCAATTTCTTATATTGAAGCAAAAGCCCTTGGAATTTTTTTAAAACTATGTTTCTCTTTGCAGGGCTACCTTCAAAATAAATACATAAAAATAGAAGCTAAACTTTCCATGAAGCTTTGAAAATACACCATTCTGCTCATAATTTGATGCTATGCTGTTATAGGCTCCAAGCACTAAAAAGAAAACATTTTTATTATTGAAAGTTTGTTCAGTTGCTTCTTCAAACTGGAGTCATAATCCTCTTGAGACATTACCTTGTTGTTTCAGAAATTCAGACTGCAACATTACACACAGGACTGTTGCTTCAGGTTTACACAGGGGGCATAAGTAACAGAAGTTAATGTGACAAATGGTGAAGAAAAACCCAGTTCTCATGCAAGTGCATTCCATAGAAGGCATGAAAGAGGTCAGTAAGCATGCCTTCATACACGCTGACCTGTAACATCATACCAACATACATACAGCCACTATGTAAGAGTATTAGCACAGCTGCCGGGCTAAGAACTTGAAAGTTATGGAAATCCTGAATTAGCATGATTTATACAAGAGCTGGTCCTTCATTCTGCTCACCTGTTCAGCCCCAGTCAACTTTTTCAGTCACTGCTTCCCTGTCCAGCAAATTATCACCCTTCAAGCATTCTCACTTTTAGCTTCTTCCCATCAGTCCTAGGCTCTTACTGAGCTATCTCAATTCCCTCTTCATAGATCAGCCTTTTCTCCTCAGCTCCTTGCCTCCCAGCTCGTTAACCACAGCTGTGGCCTTCAGTCCCTTCTAGTATCGCTCTGTCACCAAGCCAGAGTCCCACATAACACCAGATGCTTTCCCAACAGATGCATTTCTTCCTCTTGAATACCAGACCCTTGTAAGATACTTCCTCCAGGTGTCCAACCTGCCTTACAGAATGCCTTCTGCCTTATTCCTGTTAGTATTATGGTTGGTGCTGTCTTCCCCTTTTGTCTTGGGACAACTCACTATTTTTCTTCCACTGCAGGGCAGGTCAATGTGAGAGGGGTGTTAGTGCTGTAGGTGAGCCTGGACTCTTAAGAATGAAGGCTTGGATTTTTCAACAAGTAGTTACCTCAGAGACGGTGCAAAACAAGTGACCGGTCACTAATTATTGATGACTACTAGCCACGTTATGTAGAACACGTGAAAAGAACATGCTGGAGTTGATAGAAAACCAAAAACAGAGTGAGATGTCCAGAGATGGTGCTAAAATTACCTTTTGATTACGTAGCTGAAACCTGGGACAGATTCTGGACAGAGAAGCAAACCATTCTGTCATCACGGACATAAATACAATTCTTTTTTTTTTCTTGATTTAGGGATACTAAGCCACTACTTAATGAATTTTGGCTTTCATGAGAAGGTTATTCTATATTTGTGCAAAGTACCTGCTGGCAGCGTAAATACATGTATTTGTCCTTCTGGGGAACTCAATGTGTTTTCTTTCTGAAATAAACCTGCTGCAAGACAAAGAGCTACTGAGGCCAAAATCCAGAGGTTCCTATTCTAGAATTGGTCTCTCTCTCTATATATAGGTTAATATATATATATACATACACACACACCTTTCCAGAAGGCATGTACAGATGTACAGTGTCTGGATATAAGAACCACAACCAACACCTTTCAAATGCCCTACGCCAGCCACTCCCAGATTCTCCAGTTTTCCTCCCATCTTCTCTTCTGCTTTTTAATCCAAGTCCTTTCCAATCTACTACTCATATCGCTTACTCAGGAGCCAGCAAAGCAAGGATAATAAAGAAGAAAGAAGAGGTAGTTGGGACTGAATATAGCTATAGAAGATAAAACCTTAGGCTGGTGCATGCCCCATGTGGACAAAACCTCCAGGGAGATTAACTACTAAAACCTAAGTCCTCACTAAGCAGATTTGCACAGGAACTACAAAAAGAAATCTTGCTCACCAAGCTCTCTGAACTAAAAAACATCAAATCTCAGGCCTCAGGTTTTACCAAAAAATTGTCAACAGTTTAGTTACTTACTGCAAAGAAAACAGTACTTTCCTGTGATTCTTTCCCCAGGTGCCCACAGTATTTCAGTTACCATTGCCTTGAAATATATGGCAAACCTAAATTTTACAAAATCAAAATATTGGCAATTCCCTTTGAGAGGTAGCATCAGGTAACCTTAAGGAACAGTGCTACTGGCCTTTCTGGTTACTGCACTGAGGAAAAATCTTTTATTTTTTTTATTTTAAAAGCTTTATATATGCACGCACACACATTAAAAAAGTTTAAACAGTTCATTTTTCTCTCTTAAAAAATTACCCTGACATTCTCTTGGAGGTGTTAGTACATTAAAAAACACTGATGCTTTAAAACACAATGAATTGATAAATTTTTTCATTCCCTTGAAAGAAGATTAATCCTTTTAAAACTGACAGAAAAACATTCAGCTTTATGCCACACTGAACAGCTCCATATCATCTTTTATTATGTCTAAAACTTAATAGACTAAAACTGAGGCTGTTTCAGCAAATCGTCCTACATATTATCATAAATACTACACAAGGATTATTTGTTTTGTTTGTTTTGTTTTTTTCTTTTACAAATCATAAATCTAACAGTTAGTATCTTGCACGTTAACCTTAGAATGGAAATCAAAGAAGGCATGGACTAGTTTTGAAGAAGTAATACAAGCAATAAAGACTAGCAATAGGCAGCGTTTAGAATTCAGAACAGACAAAATGTCACATAAGTAACTTAAGCCTATTAGCACATATACATAAATAATACATGCACCTCCTGCCATCTTACCAAGGTATTTTTCCCTTTCTTCTCTTCTCTCCTTTGCGAGTCTTTGTCTCTCATCAGTTTTTAGAAATCCATCAATGGCTGAAATCAGAAAGAGAAGAAAAACAGAAGTGTTAATCAAATTAAAGCACACAAGAGAACTCAAAAAAACACTGAATTAAATCTAATGCATTTAACAACCCAAACAAAAACACGATTTTGCACTTGGCAGGGGGTGGGGGGGCAACAAATTGGGATTTGGATACATCCAGAGCAGTCTCCTACCTACTGCTGAAGTCCAAGCACGGCTCATCCGTGTAAATACCTGACTCCTCTCCTCAGAGCGAACAAGCATGCTGCTAGTGCTTGTTTAAAAGTTTGTAACTTTCTTGGGAAACACCATAAGGATGCGATTAGTATCTATTCAGCCTTGTTAATAAGCTCATTTTCAAGTTTTCGGCTACAAGAAGAGGCGGTTCAGGCAAGCAGTAAAAGCGGTACACAGCTCTCTCATAGTTTAATGCTTTGTGGAAGTCCCAGCCTTCGTATTTATGGCTTAACCCAGGCACACAACTTCCCTGCCCACAGGAAACCACGAGCACCAGCTCACTGCAACAACCAGTAATTAGCGCTGGATGAGGCTAGGGAGGCAGCTGCCCTCCTACCCCCTTCTCCAGGTAGGAAACACAGTTTCCTCCTGCAGCCGGTACCTAAAAGCAGGTTACCTGCTTGGGAGGAGGTCGCCTAAGGATGTTTTGCACCGGGATGCAGACACCGCAGCTCTTTGTGCAGCCTGATCCACTAAACAGCGCGATTTAACCAGGCAGACGGAGCGAGACGCATGGGGCACCCGGGAGTTACCTGCCTTCCCCCGTGCCCTGTGATGGGCAGACAGCTGAACCCGTGCAGGCTCCTCCACCTGCACAGCAGCCCCTGCTTTCTGGGCAGGCTTCAGCTGCTGACTTGAGAGATGCTAGAGGATGGGAGCCTTGTCCAACAGCCTACAGGGTGCAGAAACGGTGCCCTCGTTTCTCCCTCTGCTTTCAGGATCTCCTGGGGTCTTTGCAGGGCTGCAGCACAAACAGGCACAGGGTTTCACATCCTTAACAATCATCATTTGGGCTCCTCTGTCTCTTGTGGCCAGGGAAAATGCAGCTCTCAGCTGCTCTGCATTGGAGTAACAGCTTGCTTTTACCCACACAGCACCTTGCAGCTCCATCTCCGAGCCTCCCCTGCCGACACACGCAGACAGAGACTCCCCGATGGCAGTCAGGCCCCTGGAAAATTGCGACGACAGCTGCCGGCTGGTTAATTACACCCAAAAGTTGTGGGTCAGATAAACAGCTATTTATTACCAAAGACTCATCCACTTGTTTGTTCACTCGGTGAACATTTATGGTCAGATCTGGCAAGCAGTGGGAACAGCAAGTGGCTCGGTAAAGCAGCCGTGGCAGTGCTGTGCCACTGCTTTGAGAGGTCCTGCAGGAAGGAGCTAGGAAGGAAATCCCTGTTGTCAGCATGGTTAGATTACAGCTCCCATCCAAGGCAAGTTTTTCAGAGATCTGAAAGTCAAAACGGCTTGAAAGCTACAATGGGACTCTGTGATTCAGACTCGAGGTAGCAGAGGTTAAATCAAGACTGGAACAAGAGCCTGAGAAAGGAAGAGTGGGCTTGGGAGCAAGCAGGGGCTTAAACAACGAAGGAAGCAAGCTGAGGCAGAAAACGAGGGCTTCTGAGGCAAGGATGGAGCTGGGATGGAGAAATGTGGCACTTGTGAAATGGAAACCAGGATGCAGATAAGCTGGAAGGATTGTAAGAGCCCCTCGATCGTGTTCACAAAACCCTGCACTGCCTTTCATCGCTCTCTTGCATTGATCTCTGAAACTCACTGCCAAATATATGTCCCGCAATGATCGCCAATAAAATTAGAGTGAATTTATCTCCACCTTGACTGCTTTATGAATGCAGCTGGCAGAAGTGGATCTGCAAGCCCTGGCCTTGCTCACAGCTGCCACAGCTGTCCAAAGCTGAGGTGCGATGAGATGGGATGAAATTTCTGATGTTTTAGGCTGGCTTTCTCAAGACTTCAGGCGTCTCAATCTCATCCAGGTAATGCAAAAAGAATACAAAGATTGTAATGCCAGATACTTCAGAAATCAGAATTGAAGCAGTCCGTGTGATCCTTGTTTCTCTTCCATCCACACGCATATTAAGCGTTTTTTCCTTTTACGTCCCTTATGTAGCGCATCGGATGAAGCTCCTCAAGGGGTGAACCAAGTTCACAGCAAAACAACTGTGATTTATGCTTCCTGCTTCGTTTCCTTCTGACACTGGGAAGTGGTTAGAAAGAGAAAGGTCTGTCATCTGAAGGCTGCCTTGGAGAAGAGTGCTCCAGAGGTGGCTACGTCACAGGGGAAACAAGTGTATAGGATGACTGCTCATTACGTGTGCAACATTAAAAAAAACTACGTGGAGGAAAATCCCATGCAATCTAATTAAGTGCAGACATCATAAATGCATATGCATGCAGCAGGGGTAGCATTAAAGTTGCACAGGCATCCTCAGTACCGGCATTTCTTAACTCAAACACTTGACTTCATGAATCAGCTTGCCTGCCAAAAAGCAGAAATTTGCTTGCCTTCTGACAGTAAACATGGCTTTGAAGGATGGAATAACCATTCCTTGGATAACAACTTGTACTCTGTACACTAAGGCCAAAATTAGTGCATTTACTACACATCTTCATGCAGCATACATTATAAAAGCAATGGGCGCAGCAGTAACCTGTGGTGAAAAATTTGATTAATGATAGGAATTCAAATTCTGTTTCATACAGCAGACTACAGCAGCAAGCCAGCACAGACAACTCTACCATGAAAGTAACATAACGTCATTTCTATCTCATACTACGAACTACCAACAGAGGGCAGAACAAGGTTTGAATGAAAAAGAAAACCCCACAGCGAAAGATCAGCTTTCACTGTGACGTGGGAAGTGACCTCAGGTTAATATCTTGTACACTCAGCTTTATCCTGAGCTTTCCTCGTATTTACAACCACACAAGGCTAAAAGCTCTGCAGCAGTCAGTGCAACGTTTAAGAGTCAGGACACCAACACAGAGTGGTTGTGCCTTCTGCCAACCAGGATAATAAATACAAAGAAGCACCAGCAGAAAATTCTCTTACAGTCACAGAATCACAGAATTTCTAGGTTGGAAGAGACCTCAAGATCATCGAGTCCAACCTCTGACCTAACACTAACAGTCCCCACTAAACCATATCCCTAAGCTCTACATCTAAACGTCTTTTGAAGACTTCCAGGGATGGTGACTCCACCACTTCCCTGAGCAGCCTGTTCCAGAGTCTAACAACCCTTTCGGTAAAGAAGTTCTTACTGAAGTCCAACCTAATCTTTTATTCCCAGTCTTGGGGAATAAGGAAAATGCCCAATTAACAACAACAAAGATTTTATTGCAAGGAAACCACCCTCCTCGCCCTCCCAACTACTACTTATATTTAATTTCCCTGCCCTCCTCCAAAAAACCTTTTCCAAGGAGTCCCCACTCTCAGAGAAGTGAGTCTGACCGCTGGGCTAATCCCTCGAGATCATGCCTCATTTTTTGACTGAGCAGGGCCTGCTGCTGCTCTGGGGCTTGGTTACAACAAGCACTTCCACAGAAAAAGAAGGTGACTTAAACCAGTGATAATGTCGGCGGTCCTGCAGCAGTCACCTATCACCTTACGCTGAAGGACTCCTCGGACACCTTGTTACTCTGAAATAAATACATACAGAACTGAAAGCTGGCATGTTAATCGGGGCTTCAACCCTTTTAGACGGGCAACATAAATCTACTTTTACAGATGAAAGAGGCCCATACCACGAGCACACGCTCTGCACCATGTACTGTTACATAAACATCTCGGCTCCTGCTGCAGACGGAAAGGAAGGTCGCTGCGTCCTGACCTGCAAGGCCAGCTCTGTCTCGTGAAACCCATACCCTGCTTTGGGTTGAGAAAATGAGCACTTGAGCAGGTCAATCAGGTTACTGGAAGCTGAGGATGGTTCACTAGGATCAAGCAGCTGCTTGGACACCTCTTCTGAAATTTGCACTTGAGTAGCTGCCAGCAGCTAGCACCTCCATCCATTTTTTTTTCCTTATTTTGTTTTTAAACCCACGTACTCTTCTGAGCTCCGTAACATCCTGTGGTGTTTGGTTTCACAGCGTGTTTTTGGGTAGCAGATACCCAAACCTTTGACAGCAGGCATCCCAATGGAGAAGAAGAGTCAGCCGGGGCTCCAAGGCCAGCTCTACACAACCACGTCCAACACATTCAGACCTTTGGCCAGCCTGCACAGCCGCGTTCAATGCCTTCAGACCTTTGCCCACTCTGCACAACCACAGTCAATGTCATTTAGACCTTTGCCACAGTGCGTGTGCCCTAAAGTGATGTTGCTGCATTGGTGAAATTCCTGGTCCAGGTGCAGGTCTGTCAGTGGGAAAGCATTTTTCTTCCATGTTGTTTATGGTGATCAGGGAGATGACACAGCTGAGCGCTCATAAAATAGACATTTGCCAGCACAGAGGTGGCCTTGCATGGGATGTGACACGGAGGTCTGTAGAGAAGATCAGACAGAGGCATCACTGCACTTACCACCCACCCTTTGCTGGCAGTCTCCCTCGTTTCAAATAATTTAATCCCAGTCCATAAAATCAATGCTTTACTCCCTGGAATCTGGTTTCTGTCCTTTGAGGCTGTTCCTGGAAATAATAAAGAACACACTGCTTCCCTCTGGGTACTGCTGAATGAAGAAATGTTATATTCTTCAAGTTTTCAGGGACTGACTACACTCTGAAGGGAAAAATGGTTTAAGACTGCATGGGACTGGACCTGGATGACTGTTTACATCAAGAAAAAGTGCTTTTCCTAAACTTTAATTACAGGGTATTGCTGAGAGGCTTTCAGGTAGAGTCAACAAGCAAACAGCAGACAGGCTTTGCAGATATATTCAATAAAATCCAATGAATCTGCCTCTTCTTCAATAATTGCCTTTTTAGAAGTTTTCTTTAATTAAAAAAAAAAAAAAAGAAGCTTGCAGCTACT